AGGTAAATCCTTGGCAGCAAAAGTCATAATTTTCTGTGAAAAAAATCCAATTAAAACTGAAAATAATCAACAGAAAATAAATCCATGACAAGTAAATCATGTACATGATTGTGTATGCCGTTATTGAAGTTATAAGCATATACAATTACGACAATTCTCAGTCAAACACGGAAGCTTAAAAAACAAGTCTATTTGTTGGAAATTTTCCGAAATTCACGTTTACTCGTAAGATATTTTTCAAGGCATCATACTTTATGCATGAAGATGCAACCTATTTCAAATATTTACAATTATTGCCCATAAGTCCAAGACAATAGCACATCCATAGACGTACATATCGCAAATACATGCATGGATATAGAATTTTTCAAGTTTTTAAGCAAAAAATACAAGATTGTACATGACTCTTGTACTTACAAATAGTTCTATGCAACACTCTTGCGTCTTTGTAGAAGATATATAGCTCGCATGTAAATGGCAATATGTTATTAGTGTCTATCTGCAAGATCACTAGAATTTTCCTAAATTCTGCATGTCAATGCAAAAAAAGTCGTATTTACGAAAATTCTTCCCCAAGCGATTCTGCCATTTTGTAATGTGCATGTTGCTCCCTACAAGAATATAAGTTTTTCTTCAGCGTGCATTTGTTTATTTCTTCCTAATATGAAATTACTTCATATATTCATACTATATTGGCTTAAAAACCTTGTTTAGTTTTTCTAATTCACCTATACTTACTGGTATTTATGTTCATATGTGCCTATTAGTTATTAGATGATCATTATATTCTTCGGTTTTTGATTGCAGTTCTAGTGTAAGTAGACGATTGAATGGTGAAGAAGTTCGTCTTATAAAGCAAAATATATATGTTCTAATCTTATCTCTGGAAGAAAACTCCAACATGTCCATGTATGTTTACTACATGCTCTTCCTTTTTGACCATTCTTAAATTGTCTTCTATGCACACACATTGATTCTCTACGACAGCTTTTCTTATGTCTTCGCCTGCATGGAAAGTATTAAGCGTGTAGATGCAAACGGGAGTATAGTTTTATGCTGTGACGCATTCCCGTGCATCCCATACCATAACGATTCATGTATGTACCCGCAATAAAAATGCTGCATATACATTTATTTTATAGACTTTCGCGTTTGACTGGATTGGAAAAACGACAGAAAAAAAAGAAACAATCAACTTGGAATTGATTGGGACATCTTGGATACAGTCCATGTAAAAGAGAACTTTCAATATATATAGGTCAATTCAAAATTGATTTTATTTTTATTTTCTGAATGATAATATTTAATGATATTATCCAACTTTCTATTCACCAAAAATTAGTTCTTTATTAAAATTTGTTTGTTGTTCTTCTAGCTTAATTATTATTTTATCTAAATGTTCTTGTTGTTCGTGCGTTTTCAAGAGAATACACCCGATTCGAGTAATTCTTCAGCACCGATTCACTCACGTAGTGTGCCATTTGAACTGATAAGTGTTTCAAGTATATTTCGACAAGCTCTATTCGTTAATGAAAACCGCTTCCCCACACTTCCAACCATGATCCAGAGAAACGAAAAATACTCAATTTTCACTATGGATTTGTTGAAAACTCAAAAGTAACTCCAGTATCGATTCGCCACAGAAGATCTCGAAGCGCTTCCATTCATGTTCTAAGTAGATTTTGACATGCTCTATCCAGTAGTGGAACCAGAATTCTTATATCTACAGTCAATCTTTGATAAATCCAAAAATACTGGTCTTTTCGACATAGGTTTTAGGGAGTCTATGGCGAAAAAAATTAGTATTTTTGGATTTATGAAAGATTGGTTGTAGTTATGACAATTCTAGTTTCACTATTGGATAGAGCATGTCAAAATCTACTTGGAACATGAGTGTGAGCACTTCTAAGACGAATTGGTAGAAGAATTACTATCAGGTTTCTATGGAACTTAGGTCGACAGTCTGGTATTTTCGCTTTTTTCAAACAATGGTTCTAGCTATCGGAAATATGATTTCACCATTAGATAGAGCATATCAAATTCTACATGGAACACGAATTCGAGCACTTGGAATGCTATCTGAGAGAATAGGTGCTGGAATTACTTTTGGATTTCCTGCAAATCCATAGTGAAAATTGAGTATTTTTCTTTTTTCTCGATGATGGTTGGAGATATGGGAAAGCGGCTTTCACCGACGAATAGAGCTTGTCGAAATGTACTCGAAACATTTATCAACTCAAATGAAACACTACGTGAATGAATCGGTGCTGGAACGACTCGAATCAGGTGCTAAGTTCACCTACGTACTTGATTTGTACCTGTTTGATAAGAGTTACAATGATGAAATTGGTCATTGTGTTCATAAATAAACATGACAATTATGTTATATGATGAAATGTGACGAATAATGCTTTTATTAGAAATAAATTAGAGAAAAATAGTTGAGTGCTGTGTTAATACTTGTCGAACGGAAGGCATCTTTTATAGATTGTTTGATGCATCCGTTTTTTCTCATAAAATATTGTTTTGAATCTTTTTCAAAATAATTGATCCTCTTCTAATTGATTGTATACATTTATAAACGAAATTTCGGTCAATATCTGATGTACATTTAATAAAAGTTTCTACGATAAAAGCTAATTGTGTATGTAGAAAAACGTTTGAAACAAAACAGAATTGAAAAGTATGAAAATAGTTTGATAACTAACAAATTGCCTATAGGTAGAAGCATGTTTTAATTGATGAAAGAAATTTATTATGTATGCATCTTATCATAACCAAGATAATCAACTTGATGAATAAAAATGATTATTAAAAAAAAAAGAAAAAAACATTGTCGATGATAACCTTAAATGAATGAAATTTTCTCGAAATAATGATATTAATTTATTTTGAAAATCTCCTTTATTTATCAATATGTTAACTTCTATGATTGATTATAATCGAATGAATTAATTGATAATTATATTCTCTTTGATATATGTTATATAAGTTGAATTATATTGAATAAATCATATATAAAATATCATTAATTAATTGAATATTAATTTATTTGGAATAAAATATGCGTTTTTTTTCTTTTTTGTTTAAAAGATAGTCTTAATTATCACCAAGACAAAAAGAAAGAAAGAAAGAAAGAAAAGGAAAAAGAAGATTGAACAAAGAATAGAATATGAATATATTATCTGTAAATATGTTAATATTTCTTTGTCGAAATGTATTGGATTAATATATGATTGAATATTGAATGAAATTATTCCATTGTTTGATCCATTGATTGTTGTTTATCTCCATTTGTATATTTATTTATTTGATCTAATTCATATTGAGTTACTTCATGATATATTAATTCTTTCCATTGTTCAACTGTATATTCTCTTTCATCAACTAAATGATTATATTGACCTGGAGATGGCTATTTATATTAAATATTATACTTTTAAAAAATAAAAAATAAAAAATAAATCAATTCTCAACTTACAGCATTGACTTCGGAATCTTCATACCAAACATTAATATATGGATGATTAAGAGCTTCATCAACAGACATTCGTTTTTCTGGATCAATAACTAACATTCGACCAAGAAGATCACGAGCTAATGATGCTAAAAAATTTTTATTTTATTTAAATAAGAAAATAAAAAAATTGAAAAATCTTTTTGAAAATGAAAACAAACCTGTTAATTTACTTTGTTCGGAATCAGGTGGAAATAATTGATCAGGAAATAATCTTTCAAGTGAATAACCGGAATATTTTGGTCGATTTTCAACATAATTTCTAACTGTTGGTTGTAAACGAGATAAAAATTCTCTTGATGGTGTTCCTAATTGTTCAATTATTTTATTCCATTGATCAATATCTTTTTTATTTATTTTAAATAAAACATATTTATTAAAAAAATATTTAAATAAATCTAACATACGATCTGATCCAGGAAAAATAACTTGACCACGAATCATTTCTCCAAATATACATCCAACTGACCAAATATCAACTAAAATAATAGAAAAATAATATTTATCAATTAGATTTATTTAAATAAAATTGAAAAAAAAAAATAAATATAAATATGAAACCATTTTCTTTATAACCCATTCCAAGAATAACTTCAGGTGCTCTATAATATCTTGTAACAACATATGGAGTCATCATAAATGATGTTCCAGCTGTTCGAGCTAAACCAAAATCAAGAATTTTTAATGTACAATCAGATCTAACAACAATATTTGAAGGTTTTAAATCTCTATGAATAATTCCAGCTGAATAAAGATGTTTTATTCCACATAACATTTGATAAAGTAGATAAGATATTCTTTCATGATCTAAATCCATTTGAATAACTTGACAAAGATTAGCATCCATTAATTCCATTATTATATAAACATCATTAAATTCATCTAATGTTAATGATGGTGTAAATGCATTTAATAATGATATTATCTAAATATTTTAATTAAATTATTTTTAAAAAAAATAAATAAAAATGAAAATTAATAACAATACATTTTTATGATTAACTAATTTCATAATTGAAAATTCTCTAAAAGCTCTTTTAGCATGTGTTACATTTTGAAATGGTCGACTTAATTTTTTAATAGCAACATTTGTTTGTGTTATTAAATCCAGAGCAGCACAAACAAAACCTTGAGCTCCACTTCCAATTGGACGAAGATTAACATAACGACGTAATATACGAAATGTTGTATCACCAACTTCAACTGTATAAAATTCTAAATCAGTTTTATTTCCAACATGAATTCCTCCTTCCATTTTATTATTATTTTTTTTTTTTTATAACAGATTTTTTTTTTTTTTTCTTTTCTTTCTAGACAAATCGAAATAAGGTCAATATATAATATAAACCAATAAAAAAACTCGATTTTATCTAGATGTCATCATATCTATTATTTCTCAATTGGTTAGTTGATTTGTATTCTTATTGATCAATATAGTTTTTATTCTGATTATTCTAATAATAATATAAATATTTTAAATAAAATGTTTAGTGGAAGTTGGTTATCTGATAAATCCGATTCAAATTCTAATATATATTATCAACAAAATAAAAAGAGTCGTTTAGATAATTCAATGAAAAGAGAAAATTCATCATCAACTCATACACATGTTCATCATCATCATATTCATCATCATCTTGTACTTGATGATCAAACACCTTCAAATTCAAATTCAAATTCAAATTCAAATTCAATTTCAAATAATAAAAAACGTAAACATTGTGAAACAATTAATATAAAAACAACAAATTCTTCAAATGATGGAGATTATCAATTAGTACAAAATGAAGTTTTATATTCAATGACAAATTCTTATGAAGTTTTAGAATATTTAGGACGAGGAACATTTGGACAAGTTGTTAAATGTTGGAAAAAAGGTACAAATGAAGTTGTTGCTATAAAAATATTAAAAAATCATCCATCATATGCACGTCAAGGACAAATTGAAGTATCGATTTTATCACGTCTTGGTCAAGAAAATGCTGATCAATTTAATTTAGTTCGAGCTTATGAAGTATTTCAACATAAAAATCATACATGTCTTGTTTTTGAAATGCTTGAACAAAATCTTTATGATTATTTAAAACAACAAAAATTTGCTCCATTACCATTAAAATCAATTCGACCTATTATACAACAAGTTTGTGTTGCATTATCAAAATTAAAAGAATTAGGTCTTATTCATGCTGATACAAAACCAGAAAATATTATGTTATTAGATCCACGTCGACAACCATTTAAAGTTAAATTAATTGATTTTGGTAGTGCATCACCTGTTGAAAAAGCTATTCAATCAACTTATCTTCAATCACGTTATTATAGAGCTATTGAAATTCTTCTTGGTTTACCATTTAATGAATCTATTGATATGTGGTCACTTGGTTGTGTTATGGCTGAATTATTTCTTGGTTGGCCACTTTATCCTGGATCATCTGAATATGATCAAATTCGTTATATATCTCAAACACAAGGTTTACCTAATCAAAATATTCTTGAACAAGGACAAAAAACTTCAAGATTTTTTCATTTTGTTAATTATCAATGGAAATTAAAAACAGCTGAACAATATGAAAGAGAAACAGGAATTAAATCAAAAGAAGCGAGAAAATTTATTTTTAAAAATATTGATGATATTCAACATATTCATTTAAAACAAGATTTACAATCAAATCAATTACAAGCTGAAAAATTAGATAGACTTTTTTTTGTTGATCTTTTAAAAAAAATGATTCACCTTGATCAAACACTTCGAATAACACCTAATCAAGCACTTCATCATCCTTTTATTACTATGGATCATCTTGTAGATTATACTAATTGCAATAAGTATTTATCTATTTACTTTTAAATATTTTATTATATAGAAAATTTTATTTATAGTGTTAGACAAAGTGTTCAAATGATGGAAGTTTGTAAAAAACCAAATAATTTTAATTTTAATCATTTTACAACTCAAGTATTCGTATTTTTTTTTCTTCATTTATTTAAATAATTATTTTTCTTTTGTTTTTTTTTTTCAAAAGATTCGTCAACCAGCAAATGAAATCTTAGTATCATATCCTCTTCCACCAGCAGCTTATTTTATTCCACCATATCAAGGTTAATATCTTCTTTTTTTAATTCTAATCTTATATTTTAGTTTTTAGTTGGAACACCATTATTTGTTCCTGTTGCTCCAACTGATCGACCATTTTTAATCAATGTAAATTAATATTTAAATAAATAAATTTATTTATTTTATTTATTTATTTATTTTAGAATCCAACATGGAGTCAATTATTAATTCCACCATCATTTGTTGGTTTATTTAATCGTCGTTTAACAACAAATGATTTTCCATCAACAAATTATATTCCACAACAAACATTTCAATTTAATTTAAATGAAAATAATCTCAATAATAATCATAATAATAATAATCATCGTCAACGTCCTGTTTCTGTAATAACATTATCTTCTGATGAAGATGATGAACAACCACCACCAAGGTTTTACATTTTTAATCCTTTTTACTTTTTAATTAAATCATTCTTTTTTTTTTATTTATTAATTATTTAAAAAAGAGTTGCACCACCTCATCCTCCATCATTAAATTCAAATATTAATTTAAATTCGAACTCAATTTCAAATAATCGGTCAAATATAAAACGTGAACGAATAAGCATCGATCATCGAACACAAGTATCGATTTTAATTTAAATCGTTTTCTTTTTTACCTTTTATTCTAATAATAACTTTATATATTGATAAAAAAAAGAAAAAAAGAAAAGAATTTTTTCAAAAATTAATTTATCAAAAATCTATATAGATATATCTTCATTTAATTATTAGTTATTTATTAAAAGAAAAACAATATTTTTAAAACAAATCTTTGTTTTTTTTCCTCTTTTCGTATAGAATTATCGAGTCAAATCAAATATTGAGATTTACCACTTTTTAATTGATTTATAATAAATAACATTTGTTCGATAAAGGACATCGGACGATAAAGGGCATTTTTCTTCCCAAAAAATTTTT